GCGCCATCAGTCAATCGTTGCTCGGCAGCAGACTGTTGGAAATATCTGGTCTATTCAGAACATGAAATGAAAGAAAGATCACAACAGCCAAAACGTAACCAAATCATTTTGAGCTCAAATAGAACGAAACCACTTACAATCTATTGTTTTTAACTGTAGTATATTATTGTGGAACAAGTCAGAAAAACGGCAAAAATATTTTCTTATTGTACAATTAAAGTCAACTCGCTCCCTCCTAGATTAAAAAATAAGTAAATTATCTTGCACTTGATACTTATTTGCCTGGTTCAATATCGGGACCCTTGTATAAATGGGTGGAAAATTAAGCATTATCTTCACTAATTTTTGTTGGCTTAGTTTGCATACACTTTGGGACACTATGATTTTCTTAGATTACTCATTTGGAAAATTTCTTTAACTACAGAATAGAGTCTTAAAAGCTGTTTAATTATTCTATTTGCAGCGGTATTAAGATAATGGTATTTTCAGTTTGTTAATTGTGTATGACATTTTAATTCTTGAACAAAAAAAATATGAAGTCTGCGTAACCGAAGAAGGGACACGTGAACGCTCAAATGACAAGCCTACGCCGTTTATAATAAAAGCTATAGAAGTTAAGCACGGGCATATTATTTTTTCTTCCAGCTAACTGACATTTCTGAAGCAAAAGAAAACTATATTCATTAAATTCATAAAAATGTAAAATGTTATTGACGCTAAAATTGATTTTATATTGATCGTGGATACACCAAGTACAAACATTGCACCGATTTATATGAAATGATACCTGAAAGATTCGTGGAAATGTATCAAGTTTCGGCAGCTGTAAAATTAAATATTTCGAAAAGCGCAAGTGCAAACAAAACATCACCAATGAAATGTTGGAGATTTTTCCTTAACAAAACACTAATGGACCAGGCAGTGCACAATGTCAGCAAGACTCTACAGTTAATTGATTCCCTTTTGTGGAGGCAAAAGACATTATTTGTAACCAAACTGCACTAAAAAGCCAACAAACTAGGTGTGAAAAGTTGTCAAGCCATCAACTGAAGATCCTCGAAGAGGAAACACATATAAGCCGCTAACAGAATTAAATGGAAACCAGTGTGCTGACACTTTAACATAATGTATTGTTCAATGACTGTAACTTAACTTGTAAGTCTAGATTTGAAAATAACCGGCTGTAATCAACGCATGCTTTAATATAATACAAGACGTCTGTAGGAATGAAGAAAAATGACGCAGTAGGGTAATGGATGTGTAGAAAATGAAAATAGACAGGAAACGTTTACTGACGGATAGGACTCCTCATTATATCATGATAAATCCTATAGGAGGAACTACCACGGAGTCTATGCCGTTCTGTTATTGTAGGAATCCATTCATACTTTTCGTCTGTTTGCTCGGAATACAACAATTTAGCATCTTACATCCACCAAAGATTTAACAAAAAAAGCACTGTGCCTTGTCTCCTAATAATTTCCAATATATATATATATATATATATATATATATATATATATATATATATATATATCCAAAACTTGATGAACTAAAATTAACAATTGTGCATAGTCGATTATTGGTGATGCATTTGGTTATGTCGAATACTATCGAGGTGTTTGGTTTATATCAATTATTTCCGATGTTTTTTGGTTTATGTCGAACATGTTTAGACGATTCTTTTTATGATTCCTTTGTTAGCGATCTATAGGTTCGTATTTTGCATAGGGCTAGTTTCAAAGAAAATTAATTTTCCATGATTTTGATCACTGGTTATACTTACTGGCTGTATACAAATAGCTTTATATATCTTAGTACTAAAATAACTTTAATCCCCTTTATTTTGGTATCATTGGTATCATTGGTGTCGTTGGTGTCATTTGGGTTATAGAGTATTTAACTTAGGCTTACTTCGAATGTAGAGCTTTAAAAAAAGAACTAGCTCAGCATGGTCATTTTTCACTTCCAAGACATCAGAGGGCAAATTGTAAAAAAAAAAACAACTTATTTGACATCTTATAATTTTGATAATTCATTCAGTCAGCTTACAGCAGCTGGTATTATTTAATCTGGCAAAATTCGAGTTCCCTATTTTAATAACTGCTACAATTAGTGTACTTTATATTAACTCTGGCTGATTTCGCGAGTCCATGGAAGTAGTAAAGCTGCTTAAATAGCCGTGCGCTTAGAGCAGGTACAATTTCCACAAGAACAATATCCAGTATTTCAGCCATATTACATGAAGTAATCAATGGTATGCCAAAACTTTATCCATTGTGCATGTTGCAAATGCAAAACAAAATATGCCCCTAACAAACTTCAAATTCCACCTGTCATTCTCTCAAAAGTTTACATTTTGGAGGGTAAAGACCGAGTACACCGAATCAGAAGTAGGTCATTTGTTTATATTTCCAGCAATTTAGTGCACAAAAGTTAGATTATATCGTGAAAGTGATACATTGGAATCCATATAAAGTCTCGCTATCTAAAAAGAAAGACGAAAGCATTTTCCAGCTCTAATTGCAGTCCCCCTATTATAAAATGTATTCTAATGGACGATTGTAACATAGATCTTGTGAGCGAAATCATAAAAAGTGAGTTGACATAATTACCTCTCATGCATCTTAACCAACCAAGTCAATATTAATTTTGATAGATTACATTTATACTTCTCACTTACAGACCATATCCGAAAATATTATACACTATTTGGCTATAAATGACCATTATTCGATCTGAAATCAATTATTCAAACCATAAAAAAATACTCATACAGTGTTATTAATATTATATACAGATCAATTAATAATTTTTGTAACGATTTTTTTCTTAACGAACTAACGTTGGCTTTCGAGAATGCATAATTTGTTATCACTCAATCTAGACAATGCGTTCAAAGTTATGTCTAAAAGGTTTTATTCCTTACAATAAAAAAAAATCTATACTAAAAAAAAATATTAAACAACAACAAAAAATATCAATCAAAAAAGGTTTGGTGACACACAAACAGTGATGGTGCAACACATATTTTATTCTTACTGAAAAAGGGTACATCGATTTTTTTGTTTGCTTTTTTAAAAGATATGCATATAACTATTAATCAATAAGTATACGGCATAAGAAACAATATTTGTTTATGTCGATATTACTATATCATATGTTGCTTTTCTTATTTAGAGCAGTATTTTGATAGTAGTTTCAAGGACCAGCTGTCAACGCGAACTTCACCCAGGTAAATTTATGACCACTGAGGCATATGTTTGTTTGCTAGTGACCAGAGTTTTCTTGAATTTTAACTACAGTCCACATCTAGATATTCAATTGAGACCATGGTTTGGTCTGATGGCCTGACCGTCAGAAGTGAAACGGGGATGGCAATAGTGTACGTACGCAGGAAAAATATATTTATATGATTGCAAATGGGGCAGAGGGGATTTAATGGAAGACATAAACTTTTTCAGCTTTGTTAATGCCGATATTAAGGTTTTATAAATAGCAGTATTAATTAAAAGTTGCAATTAATCGTAATGAAGAAATAGGAGATTGAAGAACGTTGTTGTGGCATTCGAAGCGTTTTATTTATACGATAATGAAGACTCTTTAATATTAGGAGACAGTTGTGCTGATCACGCCAACAGAGAGTTTGACACGTGTGCTGATTACCGGACAAGCAATTTGACGTTGTGTGCTGATTACCTGACAACAGGTAGTTTGACAGGTCTTCTGATTTCTTGACAACTGGTAGTTTGACTCATGATATGTCAGAATACCTATGCTGGTGTTAGTGATACCAAATAATCAGTATTTCACTCATTTTAAGAGATGATCTGGCTAATCACACACTTTCCCATGTATGTATGTATGTATGTATGTATGTATGTATGTATGTATGTATGTATGTATGTATGTATGTATGTATGTATGTATGTATGTATGTATGTATGTATGTATGTATGTATGTATGTATGTATGTATGTATGTATGTATGTATGTATGTATGTATGTATGTATGTATGTATGTATTAGTCGAATAATAATCAAATGGTTTGCAATCGTTTGCAATAATGAACACACGTTTTAGAAAGGTGTCTTTTATTATAGTCGATCTAATATCTAAATTGACTTCTCCTTATCTTAATTTTAAATATTGATCTATTTAACAATTGCTTTTTGTCTATCGAATTTTGGTCTTTAATTCAGAACAGGGGGTTAATAAAGTATAGATGATCATTTATTGGCGAGCACTCACTAACAAAATACGTGGAGGCAAATAAATAAAGCTCATAAACTTTATGTCAGCTAAACGCAAAAAACGTATTAAATAGCTAAAGAGTATCCGATGGGAACACAATCTTTCCCATTTATAATGCTCAAATATTTATTTTTCGAAGAATCAATTAGTAACCAATTAATATCCACATTAAAGTCAAAATGCACATGCCGGAAATTAAAATTGATCGAGGCATCTGAAACGCATGATAAATTACTAAACTGTACATCGAATCAGTATGTTTAATATCCTTCTCAAACAAATTCCAAAGTATTACATGTATTCCCGGCAAATGTTTTGTAGTAATGTTTGTACGAATGAAGATATATATCTCGAATAAAACTTAATAAAAGAAATATTTATTTTTGTAATATCGTGTATCACAATACAAAGCGCCGAATTGTAGAACAGTTCTTTATAATACATAGAAATAGTCAGAGATCCCACAATATGGGTAATTACGATACTAAAATTGCTACTTTTATTAAATTTAATTTTAGTTCGTGACTGAATATAAACCATTATAATGTGATTGCTTACTTTTCAACAAAAATCAGCACAAAAAAACCAAACAAAACAAACAAACAAAAAAAAAAACAATAACAACAATGCAGGTAAGACTTGATTGCGAACACTTATACCCACCCTCAACCTTGTTTAGATGCTACCTTAGCACAATTCTACAATACATATCTTTTCAATCATGCATAACATGATGGACCGTTACGGTGGCCTAGTGGTTACAGCGTCCGCTTCGGATGCGGGAGGTCACCGGTTTGAACCCTGGTATACTTATACCAAAGTCTGAGAAGTTATTGTTAGGACTGGTCGGCCTGGTGTCAGGATAATTAGACTGGTTTGGACATGATGCCCCAGTGCTGGACATCACTATAAACTGCCATACTGCAAACATCATAGTGATATGACTGAAAACTTGATAAAGGTACGTTAAAAAATCACATGCACGCACATACGCACGCACACACACATACACACTGGATACTATGAGTGGCATAATGAAGAGGGTTTGTTATCATTCTTTGATTTCTTGTTTTTCTTTTTTTTAAATGAAATTTAAAAGAGCAGACAAATGTTGGGTAAAAATGTAAAAATCTTCAGAAAGATATATATTGTATCCTACAACTGTTCTTTATTTTGTCAGTCTTGACTTTTTTCTTCAGTGTTGTAGTGAAACGTAGGACATTTGAGAGTTTTCAAAGTTATCATGGACCTAGGGAACTGCTTATCACTCGGATAACCTTCGGATGCTTAAATTGCAGCATTGTGGTATAATAGATTCATATAACAATTTTTCCTATATGGTCAATACATATCTTGTCAAAGGTTTTCTTTTGTTGAGAAGCTGTACTTTAAACAAAGCAAAGTGCAATTGGTCCCAGAGTTCACTTCCGGGTCAGCATGCCTCAGTATTCGCTGTGCATTATGATTGAAATACACCGACAGCCACATAATAAATAATTACCTTAAAATCTGGCGCTTGGATTACCACCAAAATTGGAAAGGAAAAATACTCTAAAGTAGACTGGGACTACATTTGTTGGTACTGAACTAGAAGTAAAAATTGTGACCTGAGTCCAAATATAATCTGGTACCCTGTCTGGTATTCTATGCACACTTAATGGAACGAGATACGAAAGGAACAAATGTCAGGGTACCAGATTCGGCGTAATGTTTAAAGATATTCAAAGTGATGGCCTTTCTGATTTACGATGGACAAACACGGACACATTATGGTTATTTGATTCGTGACGTGATGTGATGTGATTATGATTTTTAACGTAGTTTTAACAATTTTTCAGTCATATCGCTACGATGTCTGCAGTGTGGCAGTTTCAAGAGATGTCATCATGCCGCAGACATGTACCATGATGTCCAATCAAGTCACATTATCCTGACAGCAGGCCGACTAGTCCTAACATTATCTTCTTAATGCTGAGCGTTAGCTGTTAGTACCATTCTTGACATGTTTCATTATCCATATAAAACGTCTGAATGAAAGAAAATATTGATGAAAAAAAATATATCAAGCCGTTTTTTCTATAGAAAAAAATTAATGATTAGGACAAACATATAGATGATAATTCAGAGAAAATACGACGCAGGTAAATTAACCTGGATACAAATATTGATGCCCGATAGTGAAGCAAAGAAAACTGGTTATATAAAAGAAAGAAAAAGCAACTGGTTAGATATTATTGAAATTAAATGTGGAGCTGCATCTTAATTTGAATTTTGTCGTATAAATGTACAAACAGAAGACAACTTATGACAGACATTCCAACAAAGGTTCTGTATGTATGTATGTATGTATGTATGTATGTATGTATGTATGTATGTATGTATGTATGTATGTATGTATGTATGTATGTATGTATGTATGTATGTATGAATGTATGAATATATGTATGTATGTATGTATGTATGTATGTATGTATGTATGTATGTATGTATGTATGTATGTATGTATGTATGTATGTATGTATGTATGTATGTATGAATGTATGAATATATGTATGTATGTATGTATGTATGTATGTATGTATGTATGTATGTATGTATGTATGTATGTATGTATGTATGTATGTATGTATGTATGTATGTATGTATGTATGTATGTATGTATGTATGTATGTATGTATGTATGTATGTATGTATGTACGTGTGTGTATGTATGTACGTGTGTGTATGTATGTATATGTGTGTATGTATTTATGCATGTATGCATGCATGTTGTATGTAAATTTTAGTTGTTATGAAAACGTGCTGTTAATACTTTGCACTAAGCCGATCACTCTTTCATTGCTTTGTAGTGATGCGGATAATGAAAAGGCGCGGTTAATTTAATATGCTAAAAATATATTTCCAGAGAGCAATAGAATGGCACAGGAATATGAATTTATTTTTTCACTCAGGTTTCAAAAAATATTCACTTTCAATACTAGACATCCGAGTTTTTTGGTATAAACGACTGACACACGAATAAGAATTGTAATAGAAATAAAGCCATCAAAATGCACATAAAGTATCACGATTCCAGTTTGCACAAGACAATCTAATGAGAACTTTGAAATTGATTTGAAAGAAAAATGCGAAGGGAAAATGAAGAAACAAAACCCGACAAAAACAAACAAAAAGTACCAACATAAATGTCGAGAAATGAACGAAAATCAAAACGAGAATAAATGAGAATTTTAGTCTTTAGACTTATAACAATTTGAACTTCATGCATAAGACTACTTCTTATTCGGAAAACTCCGTTTTTATCCCTATGACGAATAAGTACCGAACACAGGCGGCTGCTTACCTGTATTGGGCAGCAATAATGTTCTAAAACCATTTATTTTCAAACTGTAACATCAAAAAAAAAAATAATTGAAGTGAAAGGGCTTGGTTATTTCGCTCATATTCGTTGCCATCACAACATATTTTTTTTATTTCACAGCATAGAATACGGTGCTAACATAACCAGTAGCTGCTGGAGAACAACGTCACAAAAATGGATCTGATCTTTAAAACTTTCATGGAATCTCTTTTAGACAACTCTTCTTTCCTTTATAATTTCAATATCAGCAATATTTCATCAACAGCTAAGTAACATTGTGGAAGAATTAGATCTATTGATCTTTATTTTTTTATTATCAATGGCCGAAATCGCATAATTGTCTTAGGCGCAAAGCCATTTAACAGATTTAAATTATTGCATAACTGTTCCTAATAGTAAGGATGGGAAATGATTAAAACGACGTTACCGATTAAACTGTGCAACCTATACCAACAAAAGGGCTTAGAAACAACCCGCAGACTTAATCAACCTTTATAACCCTAAAGGGTACATCATTCTCCGATAACATTATCCTAACATAATTGCTCTCCATTTCTCGCTCTAAAGTTTTCCTAGATGTAGTGGAAGTGTGTTTGTGTGTGTGTGTGTGTGTGTGTGTGTGTATGTGTGTGTTTGCTTTTATACTCGCATGTCTAGGGAAATGGCTATTTCAAGATGCAAGATCTGGGGTCATTATTTGTCATTGTGTGGCAATACATTATATCTAAACCAGCTGGTTGGGTTGCGATGGTGGAATGGAAATAATTAGAATTCCATACAAACTATACTTCACAATCTTCATTTGCATTAATAAAGGTGCTATTGCGACTTCTTATTTTGCTCAAATTTTGTAAGGTGGAGTAAAGTGCATTTTTATTAACAGATTGGCACTTGCTTTATTTACGTACAAACTTTTTCTAAAGTTCAACGCAATAATGCATCGTTCATTAATTCAATTAACTAAATTTGGGTATGTACAACGATATTATACGGGTAGTTAATATAAACAAATAAAGATAAGTAAAATTTATATTTACAAAATATTTGGGGAAAAAATGAAGTTTTACAAAAGCCAAGCATGTGTGCATTAATTACACGCGAATTGAAAAGGGATATAGAAAAATCAGACATGTTTAAAGGGCAAAGACATTATTATGAAATCTTGGATTAGACGAAAATATGTCTCACATGTCCTACAGAGAAATCTATCTGACTTTGTACTCTTACCTTATCTCGGTCAAGTTGTATCGGTCATGGTGTTCACGCACTATCCACAACGCCTGTATGAACTATTTCGTTTTCAAAAGTTAAAATTATCTTCAAAAAGTACTTTTTCAAAAGGTACTTTGTCATTCTTTAATAAACTCAATTATTTGTTGATATTTGCTTATGATCTCCGTTGATTAAATGTGGTAACATTGCAATTATTTATAATTAAATGCTCACAATTAAAACGTGCATAACATTTTTGCCAAGCGTGAAAATATATGTCTGGAACATAGTCTCAACTTTGACGTCCTACATAACGTCAAATTCAAATTTGGATGGAGCATCTGGTATCTCAGGATAGCCACAACAATGGAAGACGTGGGAAAAGCACGTCCAGACGCCACGCAAATTTTGATGATAAACATTTTCTTGATGATGTTAATAAAATACCTATTCAAGTCATTTGCACGTTTCATTTATATTAATAACAAACATTGAACATATAAAACAAACTAGTATTGGAGGTCAATGAAAATTGTTTTCCAAAAATCAAAGGTACCCATCTCTTTTGAAATCAGCTCCATTTTCATTGGTAATATTTTTCTATGAGAAACTGATGGATGACTAAGAAGAGATTCCAATGAGAGTGCAATACTAATGTACCTCTCCAAGGTCTTCGATAGTCTTTCACACAGCCTCGTCATCCAACAAACTTGAAATTCTATTACACCAGACAAATTGAAAACGATAGGCTTTTCATGGCGGACAGTATTAATGGTGGAGGAAGAAACCGGGAAATTACCGGAAAGAACCACAGACCCACGAGAAGCTACTGGCAAGCTTTCTCACATATCCACATTCGCCGAATCCTAGACTCGAACCCAAGCAAAGATGAGATGGCAGTGATCCGTAACGGACAGCGCTTTAGACCACTCGGCCACTCAGGGCCCCCTGACTAACTGGTTTGATGGCAGTTATATCCTGTTTCAGCATTATTATAAAATGCCCTGTAAGGATCGTGTGCAAATTCTTCAAGTATATATCGATTTAAAAAATAAAGTTTAGTAACCGGCTAAGATTTCTCAAAAGCAGCAAGACTATTAAACGTCTTGCAACGTCTCAAACAATATTTGTCTACTAAAGCTAAGTTACCTATCTGAACATGGTTTTTTTTTCAAGATAAGCATCAACAACTGCACCCTTATATGGAATCAAAATGTAAAGAAAATACAGTACTGGGTACACAAA